GTATCCAACCCCSAGCGCGGGGGAGCGTGTCTAGCACCAAGGTACGCCCCCGGGCAGGAGCGTCCTGATGGAAAAAGGTTCAAAACACTTAAGTTTAACCTTGGGGTTGGATGTTTTCCAGTCTGGCACACGCACCGTAACCTGCCTGACTGGAGGGGAAGAGGTTGTGTTGGGAGAAGCACAAAGGAGTGGTTTGAAAACGGGGTCTGTCAGTAGTCTGGTGTAAGGATGGCTGTGACTCCGTGCCGATGGAGGTATGGGTGTCCATGAGGAGAGAGGTGGGTGTGATGAAGAAAATTCCATCTGGGTAGACATGATGATTTTGGAGCATGAAAGGATGGAGGAATTATCCTCAGCCCTGCTCTTCCTCTTGGTATTACCTAGAGCCACTGCTGTATGCTGAGGAAGGAGCTGGATCATGATTTAGAGAGCGTGTGGTCTATGGACATAGTGCCTGGGCCACCTAGASAAGTGCAAGTCTTTGCCACATGTGTGGTTTTCTTCTCACCCTCTTCTATTAGCTGTGTGTCGTGGTTTGAATGAATTTAATGGGAGCAAAACACTCCCAAGTTCCAGCAACTCTCGACTAATGTATAGTTACAGAAGGGTTGTTTAACTTTCCTCTAACATAAGCAGATGATAGGAATACAATACTYAGCTAACCTAGGASACTGTGCCACTATCATGTCAACTCTTAGATACTGTAAATGAGCTCTTTGTCTTCTATTTAGTTTAATCTGACTTGTTTTAAGAATGGTTTGGCGTATGGGAAGGTACTAAGTCATGCTGCTGACTCTTACAACACATACCATGTTTTTCAGTGTATCCGATAAGCTGCAAGGGGGTTTGGCCTTTATTTAGACAGAAGACCAGCATAGAACATGAAACTGCAAGAGGATTGTATAAARAAKTGTGTATAAAGTGTGTGTTCTGGTGGCTGGTGTTAGCACACAGTGGAAAGTGCCTGAAGGCCTGGAAGAGTAATTTAGGATTTATGTAAACACCCTAACTGGCTCAGTTTACCCTCTACTGGAGCAAGAATGGAGATGCCCAAAGAACAGAAGCATTTCCAAATCACTAAACAACAGCCAGTGGCTAGCAGGAGAAAAATTAAAATTTGTTTCATGGGTTGTGGGTCTGGAGATCCCTCRGGACAGGGCTTTTGGTAGGGAGTCTGAATCTGAATCAACTACTGAAGAACAGACTCAGCCTAACTACGTACCTTTAATGATTGTAGATTTTTTCATTCCCTAGAAATGATTAGACTGGGACTAGAAATGGGAGAATGGACTAGAAATACTGTCTCTTTGAAAGACAACAGCCTTCGCCTTGTCTCAGCTTTCTTTGTTTTGCATTTCACAATGAGGAAGTCACACTATCAGGAAACCTACTGCTGTGTAAGAACAGAGAGTGCCTGGTTTGTTTCTTTTCAAGTCAGAAAAGTCACATGATTTTAGAAGTTGAAATCTCAGCAAAAAAAGAACCAAGTGTTTTCTCCCTTGACTGTTTTTGAAAGTCCTGCTTTAACTTGCTCAGAAATATGCTGATATTGTGTTGCCCCAGTTAACACAGTTCATGGGATTTAGCTTTCAAATTCACAAGGCAGAAGGAAAAAGTATTAAAAAAATCCTGACATGTCAAAGTTTCATGAAACAATAGGAAATGTAGAGAATTCTAGAATGTAGAAAAATGTAGAAAATGTAGAAAAAAAAATCTGATTAAGATATCTAGATCTCAGAAACTATAGTACAATTATTTCTTTATATATTGGTATTTTTCCAGAATAAGTAAGTTAAATAAGAATAGTAAGAATGCTTTACAAAAAGGTTCTAAAATAACTCAGTTTGTTAATTAATCAGACTGATGGGGAATGTATTTTTCAGCTTCTTCCTTTTGTCTCAGGTCTGTTTGTTTTGGGGAAGGTTTCATGTCACCTTGACATAGCTGAGGCCAATGATGAAATCTCTAATAACTTGCACAGGGCTTGGATTTTATCCTTCACTGGTCACAGCCTGTTGATCTGCCCTTCTCTCCAAGGAATGAGTAGAGGCAAGTCTCCTGAAAAGGATCAAGGTTTTCTCAAATTGTGCAAATATGTGTGCTGGCAGGTGCAAACATGCACCTGTAATGTATGTAAACAGCAAACATGTTTAAGGTAAACAAATGTTGAAATAATGTTAYAATGAAATGCACTGAAGTCTGGATTAGCTCCCTGTTCTGCAGCAACCAGCAGCTTCTTCCATACAGAACCTGCTGACTGTGAATCCATCTGCATTTCCACCARGAGGGTTGGACTTTGGTATTTGAGAAGGTAAAATGTCTAGAATTATCTAAAATGTGCACCATTCCTATTATTCTTACTATATCTTCTCCCTRAATATTATTCATAAGAGAAACAGAAACATTTGTGCAAAATAGCAAGCACCACTTTCTTTTAAAGCATGCATCAGGAACTTTTATTAATAGCTGTTGATAAAAGCACATGGGAGTGTTACATAGTGACTGAGGCAAATTTTGCCCACATCCTGCCCAGAGCTGGAGGTCTTTTCTAGTCCAAAGATACARGAAATAGCCAGGCCAGTTCCCCCAGATCCTTYCACAGTGATGCAACTGAACAATTTATTCAGAGTTATGGGASCTCATCTGCACTTGTATTGAAACTGTGATTTTATTTGTATCTACATTTTCTAATGTCCTCTTTTCTCAGAGGAAGGACAGAAAGGCTCAAAGTGGACACCTTTGAAAGACCAAAACCAAAGTTTTATTTCTTTGCTGTTCAACTAATCAAACTGCCTTCCCCTATTTTAATTTTTGATTCCCTCCTTTGCTAGGAAGATTCCTTGAATTCCTGTATGAATGCCTTCTCATGCCTCAGAGGTTCTCTGTAATAAATAGAAGAAGAAAGCCTCCTTATTCCACATTAAAATGTAGCGAGTTAATGATTTTTGATTGTGCTATTAAAAATTTCCAAGTATTTTAATCCAAATCGTATGGACCCACCCTGACAAATCTCTGGAGCAAAATACAGAAAATGCAATTAATATTCATATTGACCTGTAATTTTTTTATGATATTGGACAACATCTGGGATTATCTTATCATTTTCAACTGAATATTTTCATCCTAATACTTAGACTTGCATTGATATTTATGAGTTCAAAGTTGCTTGTGATATTTTTTCAAGTCTCTTAAAATTATAGTTAATCAACACTAGGCTGTACAGAGAAAAAATATTAATCTCTTTCAGAATACTAAAATCACTAAATAAATACTRCATRAGCACTGCTCTGAATTCAGGGCAAATCCAAAATTAATGGTTTCACATAATAAAGCTACACGACTTTCCATATGTTGGCAATAAAAGTACCATAATTTTTCATTATTATCTYTGAAGMCATATTTTAGGTCATTAGAACCCTATTCCTGTAGGCTAATACATCTCATCTGTCATTTGTAATTATGCAGTTTAATGAATTTGGGATTTAGACATAATTAATTGTCTGCCTGCATCCACAAATCATCTATACCATGTGTGCAAATAATTTGGGRCATAAAAGTTATAGAAATAAAAAGCTGGGAAAAAATCCAGCCAGGCCTCAGTTTTGGATACAGTAAAAGTATTGTATTTGGATACAGTAGAAGTCCCTTTGGCTCTGATCCTAYGGTGTACTTAAATTAGGAAATATCTCAGGCTTTAAAAAGAAACCTACAGAGTTGAAATTTTTCCTTTTAACTGTTGGGGGTTTGCACAATGAGTAGGTGTTTTTATTATGTGTTACAGTCACAGTTTTGTCTTTGGCACAGTTCTGCACTGCCCAGAGGTGATTCTTTTCATGGCACCTTGATTTTTGAACCTTCAGCACGCATGCACACYAGGTTTCCACATTTTTTTTTTTCCCACGACCAGATGAGTGAGAAGCTTTGCAATAGCGCCCTCAGCTTTTTCACGGAATCACAGAATRATTTCAGTTGGAAGGGACTTTAAAGACCATCTAGYTGTCAGGTGTTAYCCTTACAAGTAATGAATACTCTAATTAATGTACTTTCTGTTCCCCAGAACGTGTTTTCTCCTATCTTCAGCCAATCTTGCTGGTGTCTTTGGTAAGTTTTTAGCAAGATGTGCTTAACGAATTCATTGCTAACCTSTACCTCCTGTATGCACTGTTTTGCTGGCAAGTTGGAATGGCCAGTGAGAGCCACAAACATTCTGGTTGGGGAAGCCACGGGCTGCACCTTGCCACGTGTATGTATCCCAGTCTCCGGGAGGTGCAGACACGATTGTGGAAAATGCTCAGGTCCTTACGGGCTCTGTGATGTCTCGGTGCAGAGCCTGGGTGCCCCCTCTGCCACACAGCCCACTGGAGTGGAGTTTTTTTATCTCCTAGAAATAAAAATAATTCTGATTAATTGAACTTTTTGATTATTTGACAGTGCAAAGCACACAGCTTATTTAACACAGCAGTATTTTCACAGAATCACAGAATTCAATTAGCTTGGAAACGACCTCTGAGATCTCTGAGCCCAACCTGTGACCGAACGCCACCCTGTCATTTAGACCACGGCACTGAGTGCCATGTCCAGTGTTTCTTTAAACATCTCCAGGGACGATGACTCCACCACCTCCCTGGGCAGTCCATTCCAATGTCTAATCACCCCTTCTGTGAAGAAATTCCTCATAATATCCAACTTAAATCTCCCCCGGTGCAATTTAAGACAATGTCCTTTCATCCTGTCGCTGGCTGCTTGGGAGAAAACGCTGACTCCCAGCCGGCTACAACCTCCGTTTCAGGAAGCTGTAGAGTGCAGTAATGTCACTCTTTAAGCCTCTTAGAAAAATTCCGATGCTCTCAATTACCTTCCCTAGCAGTGCCACCAAGTGACGGGCCGGGGCAAAAGGCCGTGTCACGGCTCGGGGAGCGGCTCCGGGCACAGCGCCCAGCTGAGCGCCGCCACCCCGCCTTCCTCACGGCGCAGTGAAAAAGCGGAGCATTAAAAATAAAAAAAAAAAAAAAATCATGGTGCTTATTAAAAGCGAGAGCGAGCAGCGAAAGCGAGGCCCGCCCGACGATTAACGGTGTCCTGCCCCAACCTCCGCCCCGGGGAGCGGCCACAGGGACACGGGGCCGGGCGGTGCCGCCCGGGGATCCCGGCGTGGGCAGGGCGAGAGCTCCCAGCTGCTGGCGGCCCGGAGCTCGTTCTGTGCGCGGCGAGCCGCGAGTCGCTGGTGCCGGAGGAGCGTGTGGYTGGGACAGGAGCAGCCCCGCTGTGACCACCCCGGCGAGCACCATGCTGCCCACACGGTAAGGCGGCCCTCCGGCCCGGGCGGGGAATGGCGGCCGGGGGAGACGGCGCTCCCCGAGTGCCAGAGGTGGCGATGCCTCAGGCCTGGGCGGGGAGGGGGGGACGATCCCCGCTGTGAGGGGCTCGGGGCTCGAGGCTCGGGGAGCGATCAGGGCGGGGCGCCCCGAAACTCGAGCGGCGCGGGCACGGGCGCGGCTCCGGGCTCGCTCCGGGGCATCATCGGGCGTGAGGGGCCCTGCGGGGTGCGGCTGCAGCGGGGAGGTGTTTGCTGTGCCGTGACACACCGGGCACAGTAACACCATCTTCACTCACGTCATTCCTGGTGCATACGGGACTCTGCTGCCTTCTG